CCTTGCCGATCCCCCCAACAGGGAAACAGTGCTGTTTCCCCAGCGGATCACTAAACTTGAACACTGGGCTGAAAGCAACAGAATGAGATTCAGTAAGGACAAGTGCCAAGTCCTCCACCAAGGAAAAAGAAATCAAATGCATCAATACATGACGGGGAATACGTGGCTCAACAGAACTGAAAAAGAAAAAGATCTCGGAGTAATTGTGGACAACAGGCTAAATATGAGTCAACAATGCAATGCAGCTGCCAAAAGGGCAAATGCTACTTTGGGATGCATTAACAGAAGTATTCCTTCCAAATCACAAGAAGTAGAAGCTCCCTTATATTCCTTACTAGTCAGACCTCATCTGGAATATTATGTCCAGTTCTGGGCACCGAGATTTAAGAAATTAGAAAGGGTCCAGTGGAGGGCAACAAAAATGATCCAGGGCTTGGAAACACTGCCCTATGAGGAGTTTCTGAGGGAACTGGGCATGTTCAGCCTTGAGAGGAGAAGACTGAGGGGCAACTTGACATACTCTATAAGTACGTCAAAGGCTGTTCCAAAGAGCGGAACCAGTTGCCTAGAGAGGTTGAGGATTCTCCTACACTAAAGACATTCAAAGCAAAACTGGACAGTCATCTGAGTGGGATGGTGTATCGTGGTGTCCTGCAACAGCAGGGGGTTGGAGTCAGTGACCTTCATGGCCTCTTCCAACTCTACTATCTATGATTCTATGATTCCTCATGTGCAGTAGAAACCAGATCATTTTTTAGACAGCCATTCACCACCTTTAAGACCCAGGTAAGTCCAACCCTGATAATATTAATAGTCAGGAGAGGTCTGATCCAAAGAACAGGAGGAAAGTCTCAAACGAACAAGAAATGTGTCCCTATCACAAGGATGCACAAGGCTGAAAGTTACCCAAAATGAGTGTAGTGTAGTGGTTAGAATGTTGGATTGGTACTTGGGAGAGCCTAGTTCAAGTCCTCATTCAGCCATGAAACTCACTTTGGACTACTTTCAGACTCTCAGCCTCAGCCTAGACTCTCAGGGTTGTTGTGAGGATAAGATTGAGAGCACAAAGAGAATTATTTAAGACACTTTGAGTTCCTTGCAAGGTTATAAATGCAATGCTATCATCATCATCATTTAACAATCAAAATACCTAGAAGGAATGCTGGGCTCATCCATTTCTTGCTCTGCCAAAACAATGGCATTCTAACCAGAACAGATAAATTATTTTGTTCATGAAATGTAATGCAGAGTAAACATAGGGAGACTCTCAGGGTTCAATCTTACCCTTTTATCCCACAGAAAATAAACTGTTCAGACATAATGAGAGCAGAGAAATAAAATAATTGTGTGCCAGCATCAATGTAACAAAAATAAGCCCTAAGATGGTTTCTCACACCTGTGTCATCATGAGGGTTTCTGCATTTTTGCCACCTATGTTCTAGCTGCCGTGCCAACTCAGCTATTTCATAATCACCAGTTTCTCAAAATACCAGTGTTGCTCTTTGATTAGATTGAGGATGCTTGGGAATGATCCTGATGATGCCCTAGGTCTCCCCATTCCAAGCAAAAAGCAAGACCTTAGCTAAGACTGAAAGAAGGCCTTCAGGAGATGTCAGAAAACTATACAATACTCATTTGTCCATAAGGAAAGCTATTAACATGTGGCCACTACCCCTGCAAGGGCTAAGTGTAGCCAGTAGGTGCAACTTGGCATGTCCAGAAAAGGGATCCATCTTAGTGGTAGCATGAAACAAAGCAGCAGATGAAGGCCAATGTCACTCCATTCCAGAGTGATGTTTCCAACTTGAGTGCATCCAACTCACTAAACTGGACAATTCCCTACTATTCCTTCTATTGCAGTTAGGGAAACTATTGTTACTCCCCAGCCTCTGTTTCTGAAAAGTTGTTTCCATACTCAAGAAGCAGGATAGCTTCGACAAACACTCATAAAGTGGTTTCAAATATTTCAGATTATATATTAGGAAGAACTTCCCAATGGCCCACTGTTTGAAGGGGACCAGATCCAGAAGGAGATGGACTGTCCTTCATTAAATCAAATTTTTAAAGCAAAGATGGAATGGTCATCTATCAGGGCTGCCATAGCAGGGGATTTCTGCAGCAGACAGTTGGACCAGATGTCCAGATGAGGTCTTTTCGAGTCATCATTCTATAGAAGAACCTTTAAGAAGTCAATAAACTGATCCTCCAAACTGTGGAGGGAAGACATGGAGCAGGTATCTGTGTAGGAACAGATAGATTTTGGTAATATCTACTGGGGAAACTGTTCTTATCATGCATCATACAACAAAATTCATAGAACTTTCCAAAAGAAAATGAAGAATTGGTGTTTTAGTGACTTACACTGATACAACTTTAACTTTATTCTGGATGTTGTGTCCATGTGCAATCAAATCTTATGCATGCTTGCTCACAAGCAAGTCCCACAGAGATCAACAGGAACTGTGAGGGGCAAGGAGCCAAAGTATATAACCAATAGGTGGATTGTGCTAAATGCAATTCGGGTGATAGCTCTGTCCAGTATTAAATCTTGCAATCTCACCTGGTGGATTCCTTGTAACCTCAATTTCTTTATCATTCTTAAGAGATTGTATGAACGGGGAAAGAAGCCAAGCTGCCAACAAATCAGCTGCATTAACAAAGATACACGGATCATCCTTTGCTTTGGTCCTGGTATTTTGAAAGCAATAATGTTATGCCTAAAAAGCAAAGCAGCAGGCCACGTGCCCCTCTTCACACAGAGCAGGAGCATGGGAGGTTGGGCAGCGCACACAGAGGGAGGCTGCTGGAACAAGAGGAGCAGTGATAGCTGATGAGATGTGTCACTTCGTACGCAAAGGGAGCAGATGAAAACCATCTGCTTTTCACCAGCTCTTAAAAAAAAGATGGGTGGGGGTGGAATAAGACGGGCTTGGAATGGACTGTTATCTGGATTTACTGAGAGCATCTGACCCACAATGGGGACTTTTTCTTCTGAAATTTATGATTTTATGTCTCATCATGTCATGACATCATCCAGCATGATAAATTTTAAGCAAGATGCATTCACATCTTGCTGGAAGCCAGTAAAAGACATCCTTGCAGCACTGGGTCAGCCCTCCCGACTCCCCCATTTCTGAGACTCACTCAGCACATCTGTCAGAGATAAGCCTGGAGGAAGCTGCCTGCCTCCCAGGCTGCACTGCATCTAAAAGAGCGTGTGTGCTGCATTTGCTGTTGTGTCTGTTTGCTCCACCCTGAATCTAGACTTTTCTTGCAAGGCAGCCAGACAGATTTGGGATCATGCATATGATTTGTATTGTTTTTCTCTTGGCAGCAAAGTGCAACCCTTCTGAGACTGGGAGGGAATCTGAAACACCATTTCTCCATCGCTCACAAAGAACTTGGAATCAGAAGGGCAATGGGGTAAAGCATTTGACACATGTTCTGATTAAAGAAGCCATTCAGGCCAAGATGGGACAATGCAAAGTTCTCAGGAGCCTAGAAACTAAAGACATCTTGACAGTGGCTAACAATGTTTTCTGTAACTTTTCTGAACCTCACACAAAGTTGACAAGTAAAACTGGAAATCATTTATGGAAGAACAATAAATGATGAAGAATTTGGAACACACAATATATGAAGAAGTGGGGAGGAAACTGAAGGCCAGTTTCACTTGACACAGAAAGTTGCCTCTGTGAGATGCCCCATCTCAGTCACTGGGACATGATGTTGCGCCAGTAGACATAGGACTAGGTGAGACCTTGCTGCCTCAGCATTTCTGGAGGGAGTGAAAAAGAGGGAGCTTCTATTACTAGATAACTGTGGCTTATCATCAGTCAAGTCTCCATTCTCTTTTTGGAGTCATGTCCTGGAGCAGCTGGTGATCGCTCAGCTCCAGGCATTCATAGATGAAGCTGATTATCTGCATCCTTTCCAATCTGAGTTCAGGCCCACTTTTGGAATGGAAGCAACTTTGGCTAGCTTGGTGAGGGGGAGTCCATTCCAGTTGGTCCTGCTAGACTTCTCAGCAGCATTTAATATCATCAGGCATAGGATTTATTTATCTATTTATTTATTTTATTAAGACATGGTCTAGAAGGATCCTTCTAGACCATCTGGCAAATATGGGGCTTGGGATCACCATGTTGTGGTAGTTCTGTTCCTATATGGTTGAATGTTCCCATAATGTGGTGCTGAGCAATTATTGCTCAGCCAGTTTGTCTATGAGTTCCCTCAGGGATCTATACTCATATTATCTACTTGACTTCTTAACATTGGCATTAAGTTCATAGAATGCCTATCACCAACAAGTTATTTTCCTGTAATCAATCATCCTTTTGTGGTTCTTGTGTGATAAATTAGCCAACCCCTTTTGGAATACACTTCCTGTGCCTGCAGAAGATACTTATTAACAGCCTTATGAACTTGCAACTGATTACGTTCTCCTTCTGAAATCCTGCTATATGTCAAACCACCAAAAGAGATTAAGTTGGTGGGAATGTGAAACATGGGTCTTTTCCGTGTAGCACCCCAAATGTAGAATTTCCCCCAAAGGAGACTGCACTGGTTTCTATTTAGATTCAGGCTAGCAGCAAAAACATCTTTATTCTTACTAATGTACAGCCATTTGGAGTTAGCAGGCCTGGCTAACATCCAGACACAGGTCATGTGTGTTAGCAAAGCTAGTAGCCTATCCATGCCAATTTCTATCATGTCGTTGTAAAATTATAAGTTTGGATTGTAACAGGAGGAATGCTGAAATTCACTGAAATTCCTATGCATGGTCCAGTCCTGTTCATCATGGTTAGGCTGGTTGACCCAACCTTTTACTTGTTTACTTAGAACTATACCCTGTATTGTTTAGTGGTTCAATACATTTTAATACATTCCACTTCAGCTGATTTTCAAGACAACTGTTTATAATTTTGCAGATACATAGTGCATATTATTGCATCTGCATTGACAAGGGGATACCTTCTGAGAACGTTATATTCACCTACCTGAATGATGAACCTGAAGTACATCAAGTCCATAGATCTGTGGAAAAAACATTATCTGTCATAAGTCACTTGCACTAAGTTCTGTAACTGATCACAGTTATGTTTCACGCTTCCTCAAAAGGTCTCTGGTTGTACAGAGCTACCCCATGGAAGGTGAGAGGCAGACATAGAGTGACTCAGCCCCATGAAAGAGAGGCCCACTTCCCTTGAAGATGTCACACTATGAGTGATGGGATGACATGGAGCTCTTCTAATACGAAAAGCTCTGCTGTATTTACTTTCAGTTTTGTTGCAGCACTGAGGACAGGGCTTTACATGAAGAACATTTCCTTTCCTGCTTTCCTACTACATAGCCCCTCTTTAAAAGCAGAAGCAAAACTGGACAGTCACGATGATGGCTAAAGAAACTGCAAAACAACCCATGAGCAGGCAGTGACCAGAGCACAATAAATGCCTCGTATAAAAAGCTCGTGACTAAGTACTCCTGCCTGCTCAGAGTAAACTAGCATACCAGGAAGGAATTCTAGAATCTTCTCTCTCACATGCTGGTTTTCTACATGAAGGAATATTTGTTTAATAGAGAAGCACTGAATCATGTGAGCTCCCACAAAGGTCAGGGGTGGGAATCACATGATTCAATGATTCTCTATTTAAACAAATATTCCTGCACATAGAAAACCAGCATGTGGGAGAACCAGACCAATGACTTGCTGAAACAGCAACCTTCATGTTGAGCAGGAACAGGGACCTGGGCTTCTGAAACCCCAGACCAAGGGTCCCTCTGCTGTAAAAGAGTGGCCCTCTTTTGGTGGAATTCTAATCTTCCAGTTCAGACTTCCAGTTCTAAAAATGTTTTTTTTTTTCTATCTAAATATTTCCAAGATGGAACTTGGTCCTTGGTGAGCTGAAAAACCTTGAAACCATAGATGGAATTATGCAAAGCAACTATACTTTTCAGTGCCAAGGGAACCCTAGAACTGCAATGAAGCAACTAGGGTGAAGTAACTTTGTGGGAAAGTGAATAGTCTCAAAAAATTAGGGGAAAAATTGTAATTTCCAGAATGGCAGGGGTGTCCTTGTATTTAAGCTTCTGGGTGGAAAGCACGGCACTCCCATCTTTGTGGCTGATTGCCTGAAGAGGAAATATTTGGATGACAAACTTCAAGAGACCCAGTGAACTATTTTAATCCAGTATATAGCTCTGTCACAGATGCAGAACCTGGCCTTTGTTTGCAGAAAGTCCCATATTTGATCTCCAGCTAAAAGGATCTCAGGTAGGTAGGCTGCAAAAGATAAGAGAGTCCAGGGTTAAATTGCAAGTGGCATGAATCAGATGAAGCAGCATTGCATGTCAGTATGAAAGGCTATTTCTGCCTGATCCCATCTGATAGAGATCTCTTAGAAACAAGAGCCTTCCCGCTGCAAGTGTTGGAGGGAATGAGATGGGCTTCTGCAGGCTTTTCCTACATGGCCTCATTTCCATGGCCTCCTTGAGGGAGGAACAAACCCTTTTAGTTCATGCACCAGTTCACAACCTCAGGATTTACAAGACATTATTAAATTTTAGCAGATGAATTACAGCATTATAGATGAACTTCTGCCTAAGCATTTGACCCAAATATAGCATCATAATCAAAGACACAAAGGCTTCTTTTTCCCTTCAAATCTGGCTCACTTCCATCTTGTTCCCAGGTCAATAAACATGGTGAATATAAACACTGAGTTGCTTTTTTTCAGAGTGTGTGGCAGGGGAAATAGCGTAACTACAAAAAAAAAAAAAAAAGTCATCTTCTACTCTCACATCATTAATGGCCACAGAGAAAACAAGTTCATGCAGCTTCCAATCGGTGCTGTAGTAGTAGTAGTTCTGCTGTTGTTGTTTGTTGTTGTCTTATGAATTAGTTTCACATTATAAATTAGTTGCATACCACATAGTAGTAATACTTCTTAGATTACATTACACAGGCTGCTAAAGCAGCAGGGGTGGTATAATACAGCCTGTGTCAAGTCATTAAATTCTCTGCATTCCTTGATTTCCCAGGCTGTGCCAAATGTCAGATTTCTTGCTGCACTAACCCAAGCAAGATCCAGAGTTAGAATTATGTGGCCTTCAGCCAGCTTGGGGCATTTATTCAGCTTTATTCATGGCTGAATAAGGATGATAACCCCAATCTGACATAAACAATCATGATCTTCCTTCACAGAGTGGAGTCTCATTTCATATCTAAACCCCCACCCAGCTTAAGATTGCTTGTGTGACCTAGCAGGAAACTCTTGCTTCTCTTATGAAGCATCATCAACAAATTGCTTTGGATTTTTAGGGACCCCTCTATGACCTTTGATCCTGGCCATGCTGATGGCAAACCAATGAAATCAGTTATCTGGAGAGAGTTGTGGAGTGGTTAAGCACATACATTGCAACAGCTTGGCTGTGAACTCATGCATGAGTTTCTTTTCTTACACAAGGTATTTGTTTCATTGTTGTTGTGTATTTAGGAAGCAGATTCATTTCTTAAATGACTTCATAACTGTAGGTGGAAACACTGCACTATTCCATATTGTCAATAGGTATGAGAAGTTCAGATTGAAATATATATGTACGTTCATATAGAATTTTTCTAAATCAGACCACTGAGGATGGCCACTGGATGAAACATATTTAGTTATTTCAGGCACTGAATGATATGATTGTAACAACTTGATTTTACTCTTCCGTTGCTTAATGACTGCAAGTTTGCAGCCTGTATAGATAAAGTAGCATTACCAGACTTCTTGGATATTATTGCTCTTCCCCAGTTTACTCATCTGAATTGGTTTATTGCTTGCTACTTTGTAGTGCCATGTCAGAAGCAATGCTCAGTGCCTGTATATCTTCAGGATCTGCAGGTAGCAGGAAACTTAAGTCGCATCCCACCCTCATCCAAGCTGTCTCACCAAGCATAGCATTCCTCCATGAATCATCTGTAGCTCTCTATATTTGTCATGCATTAGGGCTGGAACACGACTTACCATGTTGTTCTGGTTTTCCCCTCTAGCAAAAATCTGATGGTCCAGAAAAACACAAATGAATGCTTGAAGTCTTACTTTATTTCAGACCAAATGGTGTTTAATTATTTCAGTATGTGTGTGTGTGGGGGGGGGGTTAGGGGGGAAGTCCTATGAAATAATCACACTGCCAGATTTCAAAACTTTCCAAAAAAAATGGCCCAATAATTCATGATATTGAGATTCTTTGTGTCAAGAGCTGGAGAACAAGATCGCAAAGAGCACAAGGGAAGACTACATTTAAATCTAGTCGCAATATCAAGGCAAGTACCTCTGCTTCAGATTGCTGTTCTCCTTAAGATCCCAGGGTGCCTGTACTGCATTTTCGGCCAATAACCACAGAAGGCTAGAGTGGCCGTGTCTCTTCTTCTCTGGAGGGATGCCAGGGTACTATCTTCTGTTTGGAGGTATTTTCTGTTTGAAAGGCTGTCCTGTCCAAGTGCAACAAAGAACCGTAAGAACAGTTGCCCATCCACACTTAGCTCCTGGGCTAAGCTGGACTGAGGAGGCAGGCACACAGGTCATCTGGTGACAGGCTTCATCCGTAGGGTGAGATGTACTATATTTTGACTTAAATTACAATAATAATTTATAAATTGGCATCTATACATATATAACTTAGCAGATGCCAATTTTATGCAAAAAGGTCTCCTTTTGTGATGTTTTCCTTCTTCTTTTTGGCACTGCATAAATGGCCATTCTGCTGCTTACAGCTGGAAGGATGGTATGATGAGTTCAGTGGTTACCTTATTCTGGGCTTCTTTCCTACAAATGCATTCATGAGGATGGGGTGGCAGGAAAGACAATATATGAAGAAAGCATGGAGAATCTAGTTATATCTGAGCCATTTCATTCATTACATGACTTATTTGGACCGGCACTGCAACTAAATATTGCTTGCAGTGAATGCTGTTTGTTTTTATTGATGATGATGATGATGATGATGATGATGATGATGATGATTGAATAGTATTTTCCACTGGCCTAAAATTCAGCCACTTTGGATTTTGATTCCAAAAGAGAGAGGGTGAAGTAATGCTGCCATTAGAAATGAAATAGGTAGGCAGTGCATTCCTTAAGACTTTCCCCCTTGCGTTCTTTTTTTCAGAAAAGAAACCTTGCATCATAAACCTTTGGTGCAATCAAGGCAAGGGTGGGGAGAACTGTATTTGCCTCTTTTCATTTACTCATTCAGGAAATGCAACTAAGGGACAGCTAATGCACTATATCAGCTACATTTCAAGAAGCTTAAGAAACCGCAAATAAGGCCTGTGGATTTAGACTTCAAGGACTCTGACCAGCTGTGGCCAAAAGGAAACATCTGCAGGGAAAGAACTGCCCATGTACTTTCTGAAATGGTAGTGAAACCCAAGAGTTTCAGAGTGTAGCAGTTCTGCATACCTCATGTAACCCGGCTGGTGCAGCTCTCCAACATAACTGATTTGCACTGCTTCACTGCCATATTTAAACGCTTACTCAGCTCACAGGAAGTACACTTGCATGCATGAGAGAATTGTCGTCATTCCCTCAAAAGAATCAGACTTCAGTTAACCAAGACATGTGAAACCATCACACATTGGAAGGAGGAGTGGAAGTGTAACGAGGAGGAGAAACTACCCTAGAGCCCCATCTCTTCCTCAGGCCATGCTGTCATGGTGTTTATGCCAAAGGCAGGCATGGTGTTGGGGCACATGCCAATGAACACAGCCCACTTTCCACTGTGTTAAAACGTGATCTAGCGTCACACACAAATTCCATTGCAGAAGTGGGAGGAGTGGGGAAAGGGAACTGTGCAGGGAAATGGCCCTTTAAGGGTTGTTCCTTTTTGTTTTGCTTTGCTTTGCTTATGTACAAAGGTTCCCTGGTGTGCAGGAGCAAAGAGTTAGCAAAAAGTAACATACAGTTCCTTCCTGAAAGCCAAAGCAACACCCCCTCTCCCCCACGCTGACCTTTAGAGGACCTCTGAGTAGACATGTATATCACAGTATTTTTGGCTGGTTGTTCCTTGCAGGCCTTCTCCCATGCTGAGTTTTGCAGGAGTACGTGCCATAGGAAGACAGTGTGATTTACCCTGGGTGGATGTGTATGTCAGGGCATTTTTAGCTAGCATTTTTAGCAACATGAGAGGTTTGTGCTATTCAGCAACTCCGACCTCTGAGCATGCATGCTGGCAAAAAGAGAACCCTTCCACATTGCGGCCCCAAGCCCCTCCACTCCCAGTCAGAACAACAGTGCAAGATCAGCACCCAGGGAATGTATGCTGCAGAAAAATGCAACACAGAAACAAGTTGAAACATAGCTGGTGTGAAGAAAACTGGGATATAATAGCAGAAATGGTGCAAAGAAAATGGTTTGGGGTCTCCGTTGTATGACACACGATCAGATATTACATTACCAGAAAAATCCCCAGTGTAGATCTCCTCCACATTTGATGAGAGCCAAACTGGATTGTGTAACAGAAATAAAAGGAGAATTGGCTCCTGTCCCCCTACCTGTATCTCTCTGAATGAGGAAACATCTGGTTTTTCAAAGAAAGTGATCTATAGGTTAATCACATTTTTCATTTTG